CACCCACCTCCATCCCAGTTCTCCCTGGTGGCCTCCATGGAAGAGGCAGGCAGGTATGTGTTGGGTACCAGTATGTGTATTCCTGGACCGTGCGTAAGTGTGTGCCAGAAGCTTCTACACAGGCAATGTCCCTGTGCTCGCTGGGAACACGCCTCCACACATCAGCCCATGTACATTTCTTTGTATATGTGCACATTTTCTACATGTGTGTGCACGTGTACACATGGATGAATGCATGCGTGTGCTCTTTGATGTGCAGAAGCATGTGCACGTGTGCGGAGTGGCCGGCTGTGCAGTAACTCTACCCACTCGGTGGTACAGCGGCAAGGACACTGGACTCCTAGGAAAGCTGGGGGTGGGGGGCTGCCTCTCCCTTGCTGTGTGCTTTTGAATGAGGTACTTACTCTCTCAGGACTTCCCCCCACCCTCCCCCAACCCCCCCCCCCCTGCCTGTGAAATAAAACCTTTTTATTCCAGAATCCCTGAGGACCCCCTCCCAACAATGGGACTTCATTAAAAGACTGGCCTAAAGCATTTGGGGGAGGAATGGGGATTGGCAGAGTCCCCCTTCCACAAGTTGCCACAGGAGAGTAGCCCTCTCACCTGAGTTCAAATTGGGAGAAGAGCAGTCTGGGGGGGTGGGGGGTGTTCAGAGGGATGGAGCAATACTCTGCCACCTCCCCCAGAGGGAATACTCCATTTGGAACCCACCCTGAGGTGAGGCAAGGCTAAGGGAGGGCTGCTGCCTGGCCTCCCTGCCCCTCCCCGCCCCCTGCCCATGTCTGAGCATAGTGGAAGGCAGCTTCTATTACCAGAGGAATAGGGTTTTCTCCAACACAAAAAGGAAAATCTAGGCTAACCACTGGAAGAGCTGATGACCCCTCTAGAGAACCACCTTCATCCAGGGTAAGGAGTCTGGCCAGAGCCTCTCCAACCCTGGCCGTGGCCTTTGGCCTCTAGGAGTCAGCCAAGGCTCAGCCCTGCCCATGCAAGTAGGCCTTTTACTGAGGGCACTGGATGGGGGAGTTGGGGTAGGGGGAAACCGGGACACAGCGACCTCCCTGGTGAGATCATCTCTGGAAATCCCGAATAGGTCATGGGGCTGTGGGAGCCAGGTAAGGAGCAGGCTAGTAGGCCACTCCCTCTCTGTGCCCTGGGCAGCCCAGCCTAGGGGCCCTGAGAATTGGCCACACATGCACACACTCACAAACACGAAACTATTGGCAGTCATACACCCCAAACACACACTTTCACCTCCCAAGCCTGAACAAATATACTTAATGCCACCCCTATACAAAGGCCCCTCAGCGTACAACCCACAAACATAGAAGCTTACACACACATACCGCAGCCCCACACATCCCAATATCCCCTCCTCCATCTGCAGCCCACCCCTGACCCTACTGAAGGAACAAGAATTTTGAGCAAGAAAATAGAGACCTTTGCCCTCAGAAAGAGCCAGGGATCAATACTGTTTAGACTCGGCTAGTGTGTATTTCCTTCTGGGCTGAGGAAGATTTAAGTTTATGGTTCAATCCGATCTTTTTTTTTTTAAAGGTAGAAAATGAGGAAGTTGGGATAGCACGCTCAACTATTTATTTCGATGCAACCTCAGACTTTTTAATACACAGGCGACTCCCTAAGCCAGCCCCATAAATCAGAGAAATCAATGCTTGTTTATGATTATTATTACTTTCTTTTTTTGGAGGGGGAAGAAGAAAGAGGTCTGACCAGAGTCCTCTTCCTCTCTCCTCAGCCCCAATCAGGAAGAAGGGGAAATGGGGATGAGGAAGGCAGGAAGGTAGGAAAGTCAGGGCCAGGGCCGGATTCCTGAGGTTAAGGCAGTTGTTAAGAGTAGAGATGACGTAGAAAAAGACACACAGCCACAGAGAAGGCATGGACCAAATATGTAAGTCGTTTGAGCTTGAGTTTTCTCCACTGAACAAAGAAGAAAATTCTCTTCGCCCATAGGGGTTGGAATATAAAAGGAGATATGGGGAAGAAATCAAATTACATAATAATAACAGATCCATAAGCTTTACTAATACAATCTTAGGGAGGGGTCATCACCTCCTCCTTCTCCCCCAGGGTTGAGGGGAAGAGCTCTTGGCTTTGACCTCCTGAGAGTGGTGAAGAGGAGCCTTAAGAAACAGGATGGCTCCTGGCCTTGGCCCCTGCCCCAGCCTCTAGATCTGGTGGTCTCGAAGGGCTTAGGTACCCTAAGGGCCACCGTGATGAAAGGCAAAGAAAGGGTAGCCCCATTTCCAGGCACTCAAAGGATCAGGTTCTCTGTAGAGCATAGCGCCCCCAACACCACATCAGGAGGTGGCCAGGACCCTTCCTGATGTTCTGAGCTCTGTGGATGAGGGGAAGAGGACCCTGGGCTCCAAGTCTCAGACCCTCTAACCTGAAGCCCTGGAGAGCCTGAAGATCCTGAGCCCCCTTCCCCACCAAGAAAGGCAAAGGACGTACATCCAACCACCAGAAAACCATTTTCGGGGGCCATCCGAAGGAAGGGCCACCTCTGGCCTCTGCTTCCAACTCTTCACTCAAGGAGTGGGTAAGCACCCATTATGTGCAGAGGTTAGCCTACACACCCCAAGAAGGCGTGAAGGGGAGGAAAAGATATACTGCAATAAGGTTGGGAACCCATGGCAATATCAAATACGCTCTCCAGCTCCAGGCCATTGAACCTCAGGCTCCCAAACCCTTGAGCAGGGACTTGGAGCCTACTAGCCCTGTCACTTCCCAGGATATAGGCCCAAATCAGCGGGAAGTTTCTCAAGGAAAAAGGAAGAATGACCATTCTCACTTCTCACAAAATCAATCCTGCAAAAACAACAGGGAAGAAACTCAAGGGAATAACACAGAAACAGAGTTCCCATGCATGCACCAGCCCCATAAACACACCTGCAGGCATTCTGGTGTGCAAACACTAATGGACACATGTACATACACCGCAAGCTCACAAACATCCAAGTGTGCATCTAATTACAGAGAAATGAACACCCAGTGAGCACAATACTCAGACATGCAGGGACACACGAAACCAGGTAACTCCTCAGATGCACCTACATTTGCACGTGATCACATATGCACATGAGTCTGCAAGGACACCTACATATCTAGCCACTCACGGACAGGTACATACACATATTTCAGAAGACAGGAAGAAAGGAGAAAAGGAGGATTTACCATTAAAAAACAAATCCTGGACAAAAGGGACCTTCCTTTCCTCCTCCTAGTCCCTGAAGGTAGGGGGCCCAGTGCCTGCCCAGGAAGGGAAGGCCCCAGCGTCAGGGGCAAGAGTGCAGACATTTCCCTCTGGGAAGTCCACGTGCCCTGAGGGTTCAGAAGGCTTGTGTCTGTGCCTCCTCCCCCCTCAAGCAGGAAGCAAACCTTTGTTGGCATTCGGAGAGTGATCCCGCTTAGGTTTTGGCTCTGGGCGAGGCAGGCCTGTGCCCATGTGGGAATTCCGGCCCCAAAATGATCCCAGCAGCATCGCTTTCCAGCATCCAGGCCTCTTCTCTCCGGGCTATGCGGGACCAAGAGATCCGGGCCAGGAGAGGCTCCAAGGGCCGCCCTCGACCTGCCGCTTCGTCAACGGAATCACTTCTCCGAACTAAGAGCGGTGAAGTCCCGGCGGCCTGGAGACCAGGCCCAGAAGCCCAGCCGAAGAGCCCCTCGCCCTCGTGGGCAGCTCAGCCCTGGAGGCAGCCCCTCACCTCTGCCGGCCTTGGGAAGGCCTTGCGCTTCTGGAGGGGAAAACCTCAAGCAAAACCCGCATGGGGTTGTAAGGGGAGGAAGGACAGAAAAGGGAAAGGTGCAGGCCGAAGCAAGGAGCGGGGCAGGGTGAGCAGGAGGAGGGCAAAGCCAGGCTGGGCCTGGGCCAGCACAGGGAGCAGCCAGACACCCTGGCAGTGTTTCCGAAGTCAGGACTGGGGTTTGTTGTTTTTTGTTTTGTTTTGTCTTTGGGCTCCTTTGGACGCCATCAGAGACCAGGAGTGGGCCTCCGGACCCTCCAGACCGGGACCTACCCGGCTCTGGGCCGCCTCTACCGCGGCGCGCTCGTCTTGCCCCTGGTACTCGTTGTGCGATGATCGCAAGGCCGGGCCGGGCCGCCCGGGGCTCGCCGCCCGGTGTGTGCGCAATGCGCGCGGGGCCCTCGCGTGCCCTGCGCCCACGCCCTTCCCGAGCCCGCAAGGAGGAGGGCCGCCAACGGCTCGTGAGCACAGTGTACACTTTATTTCAGACTACAGGTTTCTGAACATAATAAAATCTTTGGCTTGTAGCGGCGGTTCAGTCTCGCAGTCTGTGGGGTCGTATTTCTCAACAAGTCTCCGAAAACGAAAGGGGAGCAGGACAGACCGACAGAAGGGGCTGGGGAGGCGGGGAAGAGGCGAAGGGCAGACACGCGAGGAAACACACTCTCACGCACACAAAGAAAAGTCCCAGAGAAACGAGGGCCAGCGATGCGGGGCGGGAGGCACCGGAGAAGCAACAACATTCAAAAGAAAAAAGGCAATGAAAACGAAACTGGGCCGGGGGCAGCGAGGCGGAGGTGGGGGATAAAATAATTATAATAATTATAATAATTATAACAATAATAATAAAGGAGATTAATAAAAAGTCCAGCAAATAGAGATCGCTACACATATTTCTTTTCCTTACCTGAAATTAAATATATACAAGGTCGTAAGCGGTTTGGCTAGATAGAGCTTTAAGGAGTTCGCAGTTTCGCCCCTTATACTGTGAATAGAGAATAGATCTTATTTTTCGATAGCACCTGTCCGAGTCTTTCTCCCTTTTTAAAAATGTTTCGTTCAAACGTGACTCTCCATTCTGAGAATCTCTCTCTCTCTCTCTTCCCTGTTGCTCCCTCCCTCCTGTGCGCGGATTCTTTCTCCCCCGGCGTGAGGCCGGCCGGGCGGCGGCGGCGGCGATGCCAGGAGGTGGCGCGGGCGCGGCGGCCGGACCGCGCGGCCCCAGCCGGCGGGCGGCTACTCGCTCTCGTCTTTGTCCTGGACCGTGGTGGTGGAGTGGTTGTACAGTCCCTGCGCCATGAGGTGCAGCGCCAGGCCGTTCTTGATGCCCGTGGCTTTCTTGATCTTGGCGCGTTTGTTCTGGAACCAGATCTTGATCTGGGACTCGTTGAGGCTGAGCTCCTGGGCCAGGGTCTGCCGCCGCTGTTCCGTGATGTAGCGGTTCGCCTGGAACTCCGCCTTGAGTCTCTGCAGCTGCTCGGCCGTGAACGCCGTCCGCGGCCGCTTGTCCTCCTTCTCGTTCTTCTTCTTCTTCAGCTTCCTGGTGCGCGGACCTGCAGCGGCGGAGAGGGCCGGGTGGGGGTGGGACGGAGGGCAGAGGGGAGGGGGGAGAGGGCAGAGGAAGCCGTGAGAATTGCAGAGCCGAGCGGGGATGGCGCCCCGCGCTTCCGGGGCGATAGCCGAGGCCCTGCTGCGCCCCTGGCTCCCTCCCGCCAACTAGCCCCGAGATCAATCGCCTGGCTGCTGGGGTCGCCAAGTTCTCTGGGGGGCCAGAAGGGCCGCGGAGGAAAACCGGCCGAGCTTGTCCGTGCATCCCACACCCCAATTCGCGGAACCAGAGAGCAGCGTGCCACGCTTAAATCCCATAATCCAAGATGGAGAGATATTTGGAGCCCCATCCGGTGGATCCCAGAGTTGGAGGTCAGGGGCCTGCTGTCTTCACAGCCCTGGAATAAAAAGAGGCTCAAGCCTGGGCCAGTGAAGACACCGGGCAGGACTGCCCTGAGGGAATGGCCAGCCTGCAAACTAATCCTCCCTTCCTCCTCAAGAAGCGCACCTACGCCCAGCACTTACGATGATAAGATCCCCTCTGCTTGTAGCTATTGACCCCAGAAAACAGGGGGATAGGGAGGGGACTGTGAGGGGCTTGCCTAGATCCAAAGTCTTTGGTGTATGTTCTCTGGGCTCCTCCTTTCTCTTTGGCCTAAAGGAAGCCCTTTTTAGGGTCCCAGGGAGACATTAACCACCCCCTTCTCTGAAGGCGGAACAAGGCTTTCACCCGGTTGCACACCTTACCCACATGACCCTGGTCTCCAGGGTTCTCTGCTTTGCCCCTTGGATGGTGCCAGTAAGAAAGAGAGGACCCTCCCCATTCCTCCACCTAGCTGTACAGGCAAGGTCTCCCTTCTCTCTCTTTCGAACACATAAGCTGCAGTTTCAGGATTGAAAAGTCCTGTATAACAAAAACAGGCCAGATATGCTTCCCTTGCCCATCGATGACATTTGCAAGGAGACTCCATCGGTCCTCCCCCCATTCATGAGCAAAATACGGGCAGAGGGAGAGAGACGGAGGGACAATGTGGACAGAAATCGGTGCTTTGCCCCTAAGACGGATATGGGAAGAGGCCCCAGCAAATCTCCCCAAGAATGTGAAGATTCTCCCAAAACCTAGTGTGGGAAGAGAGCTGCTGTGGAGCCCAGCCCTGGAGAGAGGAGGGGGAAAGAGGAGACAGCCTTTAAAGCTGTTCCTCAGCCTTAGACCCAAGTTTTCCGGCATTTACTTGGTGGGCCCTGTCGTGGTTATGGGAGCTTCCTGAGCCATGTTAAGTCCCTGTCCGGCCTTTTAATATCAGAAACTGTCTGGAAAGAAGGGTCTTCACCAGCATCTCCAAACCTAGCAACAGAGGGGCAAGCTGGGCTGCTTGGCTCCGCGGACAGGCCAGCGCCTGGGGTCACCAGCTGTCCTGTGACAAAAGAGTCCAGGCCTGGCTGACTGCAGCAACTCAGGTCTGGGCTGAGGTTCGTCTCCCTGAACTGCCCATGCAGGGGACGGGAGGAGCCCGTCCCCTGCCTCCCCTGGCACAGAAGAGGGAAAGCGGCCAAGAACAAAGGCAAGGCCCACTCCTAAGCCCCGTGCGGAGAGAACTGAGAGGTGGGGTGGGGAGGAAGGACGGCCTTGGTTTAGATTAATAATTAGCTGAGCGGGAAGAGATGGCCCAGGAAATGTGCACATCTCCGGAAAGGCCTCGCTGTGCGTTGTGCGTCCGTGATGTTGTGAGAATGTTGTTGTGTATGTGTGTGCAGAGGCACGGATACTTGTAATAAAATCGTAGCCTCTTGGCCAGCCTGAGCCGCCCAGCCTGACAGCTCAATCACTCTATCCATCAGGCGAGTCAATCAAAGCAGCTTTTCGGAGGTTCAGGGAGCCCGACGTGTCAATAACGGGGCTCGAGATGGCGGGGGCTGATAGCGCGCATCGATCCGCGCCCGGCCGGCAACCGTGGGGAGGCTGGACACCAGCCGGAGTAGAGCGGCGCATGGCTACGCTGTGCCCGGCCTCCTACCTGACCCGGGTGCCCGAAACACCAATTGTAGGCCAGAACCCCTGCCGTCCTCCTCGCCGCGCCCACGGGCCTCTCTGGCGCTGCCGACCCGGGAGGCGGGCAGGCCCCAGCCTCCTCTCCTGGGGCCTAGGACTGTCCCAGCGCAGGTCTCTCGGCCTCGGGGTTTCCAAGCGCGAGGAACACGCGAGAAAAGGGCCGAAGGAAGTCGAGAAAAACAACTTACAGCTGGCAGAAATCTGCTAACTGGCAGATACAGGGAAGAAAGGAGTGAAAGAAGGAGAAAGGGCAGGGCCGGAGGGTGTGCGCGCTGCGCCACGGAGAAGCTGCCGAGGAGGCTGCCAATCATACCCCGTGCCCCCGCGATCTGGCCCGAGCCTGACCGGTCTCCTCTCCACTCCCACTGTCTGTGAGCTCTAGAGAACCAGGAGCCAGGGCTCTCTCGGCACCGACCGTTTTGGCAACCATCTTTCCCTGGATTCTACCCACCCGGGTCAGACTCCCTAGCTTACCCGGTCTGGGGAAGAGGCACGGCTATCAAAGGCTTTTTTCTCTCTTTCCGTGTGTCCTCCAATGTATCTCACTGTAAATAAACTCGCCTCAAAAAATGTCGAGATGGTGTTTGTGTTTGTAAGAACACAAGGTGACGATTATTTCTCTGATCAGAGCCTGGCTCCATTTCGGCCTCCGCAGGACCTGGCTAGAGGGATTTCAGACCCAGACCGCTAGGCCCACCTTCCCGCCTGCTCTAAACACCTCTCTCCCTGGAAGAAAAATCAATGGCTGATTGTGTTTTTTCTAAGAATAATAAAGGTAAAACACAAAGAAGGCCCGAGGGGCTCGGAGTTCAACACCGAAGGAAGGATCGAGACTCGAGCTTCCCGAGCCAGGAGCTGTAGCCTCTCGAGTGGTGGCCACAGAGGCCAGGAGCGCAGGACTGGGGGCACACCCGGCTGTGACTGGGACGGGGATCAGGAGGAAGCAGGCGTGAGAGAAGAGAGCACCCAAGGCCGGGTCTGCTCTCCCCAGCACAGCGGCGGCTGAGAGTTCTGGGGGCGTCCACGGGCCCGAAAGACATGGCGCAGCCCGGGGTTGGGTACTCACCGGAGGACGGGCGATCCGAGTAGCGCGTGCAGTACACCCAGGCGGGCCATACGAGGGGCTGCTGCGAGTCAGTTTTGACCACGGGCCCGCCGTTGGCTGAGCCCATAAGCAGGATGGCGGGGTTGCCATGCTCCGGGTACTTGACACCCTGCGCACTAGGGCTCCCCACGCCGCCTCCACTGCCGCCGCCGCTGTCCGAAGGCTTGGCCGCTGCCGCCGCCGCCACGGCCGCCGCGGCCGCCGGGTTCCCGGCTTTAGACGCACCCGCACCGCCGCCGGCGGCTGGCGGAGAGCCGTCGGGTGGGCCACAGTTCACGTCCGGGGCGCATAGGAGCGAGGCGGCGCCCGGCGCCCGCGTGCCCAGCGGATGGACAGGGTCTCTACCTGCGCCCGTCTGGCCTCTGTCACGCTCGACCCGGCCTCCTCCTGCGCCTCCTCCGGCCGCCGCTGCCACCAGGAGCTGCGGCGGCGGCTGCTCCTTTTTGCAGCCGAAGTCCGGCCTCAGGATGTTGTCGATGAAAAAGTTGGTGGTGCGGTGCAGCTGGGCCGCGGGCTGCGGCTGGTGAGCAGGCGCCGCGAGATGCTGCGGCGGCGGCGGCGGGGGGGCCGATGTGGGGCTCGATCCCAGAACCCTGGGATCATGACCTGAGCCGAAGGCAGACGCTTAA